CCACAGTCACCACACCACAGTCGCCACAGTCACCACAGTCATCACAGTCGCCACAGTCGCCACAGTCGCCACAGTCACCACAGTCGCCACACTCACCACAGTCACCACAGTCGCCACAGTCACCACAGTCACCACAGCGCCGTGTTCGATATGGGTACAATGTGACGTGTTCAACGCATGTACTATGCATTCAATTGTTTGTTTGTATGAAGTCGTAACGACGTTGTGTGAAAACTATATTGATTTAAAGTTAGTTATTAAAGTCGCTAGGGGCAAAACATGAATCGTTTTTCTTTATTGTTCAGATAAATATAGAATTCGACGGTTTTTTCGTGTGTTTTTTCATCTGATACGAACTAAATTATACAAAGTTGACATTTTTGAAACAATTTGTATAGGAACCTATGTTAAACCATTATTTCATACAACAAAATAATATTTATCAGAATAATTTTTGACAACCAACCCGGTACCCTGTTTGAATGGTAGCCAACTGTTTTAAAATCTCAAGATGAGCAGATTTCGTATTGTGGATCTTTCCAAACATGTAAACAGGTCAAAAACTCTTTTGAAATATATAAATAGTAGACATAATGGGATAGTACACCATCGCGTAGGATAGTACACACATATATAATCCCGATTGTAATAACGAAACGAAACGATTTTGTTTCCGTTTTCAGAAGTTGTTAAGGATATCATACGAAACTGCCAGTATTTGCACGCGGCACAAGATGACGTCATAATCAACCAAGGTGACATCGGCAATTCGTAAGTAGTGTATTATCATTAATGTTATAGATACATTTACCGCGGAGCTACGCATTTATAAGTATCTGTTTGCTTCGTACTATGCGTGTAACATTGTGAAATTCTTTCGTTTGTATGCAGAAAAATACAGTATTTTTACCGATGTAAAATCATACTTATTAAAGTTATTGTTCATACATGAGTTATCGAAAACACTACTTCCATCCAGCTTCTTTCAATCATAATTCAAAACAAATATAAGGCAAAAATTTAGAGATTATAACAAATTATCTTTTTTTCTGTAATATTCTTGTGTAATCGGTAATTATGAACATTTTTATGGGTGGAGAGGAAACACATTTCGTTATGAATTATTCTTAATATAGCCTTTTGAATTATTTTGTCAAAATCAGTTTATTTCCATTTTTTCTTCCCAAAAAACGAAAGAATTTCACAAAGTCGAAAACGGAAAGTCTTTATCGTAGTCTTGTGTCAGACACGCTTTTCATTTAGCCAGCCAAACACATATAAACTGTACTTAAATATATATATGTAGCAGGTATACACTATCTATCACTCAACTATTCTATAGTTATAGTAAATGCAGCCAGTTGAATGGTGAGTGTAATTCGAAAATAAAGTTTTCCTAGATATCTGCACATTTACCACCAATTCAATTATGTGGAAATAGTCGAAACTAGCTCATTCGGGCAGCGTTTTTGTTGTTGAAATGAGTTATTGAATTGGTTATGATACTTTTATGAGCTTAATGGTGAAATAATTGCTTGTTACAGATTTTATATTATTTTGAGTGGGCAAGTAGCTGTGTACATCCGAAACACACAATCCGATGACGAAGACGAGGTGAGCGATGACGAAGCACGCACGAAAACAAAAGAACGCCGATCAAGGACTTCCAGTAAAAGAGCTTCCAGCAAAACATCAGTCGGATCCGCTAGACATCTGCGAGACCTGGAGAATGGAGACGAGTTACCAGAGAGCAGTGACGACGATAACGCTGAGGGCGGTGATGATGATAATGAGGGGGATGATGATGATACGAATACCGTGACCGAGGCGGAGAGACGAGCTTCCTATAGACCACTGGATAGAAGTGAATTTGGCACACATATACGTTTTGTGGGTGAGAAGTTTTATAAATACCAGCGTTAAATCAATATAAAATATAACATTAGTTAAATCAGCGAGAATAAAACTGCCGTCTATCGTCAACAATTAATAGAACTATCACCTGTATCAAAAATAGTCGTTACCATGGCGACCAAGTTTTATTAAAGATCACAATATATAGTGGTCAAACTGTTTACGTGAAGATGGCTAAAACGAAAGATTTGTTGTTATCCGTTTTTCGTCATCAGGTGCTGGTGGCAGTTTTGGTGAACTGGCGTTGCTACATGAGAACTGTGTTCGTAATGCGTCCGTCATCGCCAATGCCGTGACAGACATGATTGTGGTGGACAGAGACCTATATAGTCGGTCTCTAAAAGCAGCACAGGAACATGAATTAAAAGAGAAATATGCTTTCATAGATACCTACCCATTGTTTAGGTCAGTAAACTGACCCGTCTGAGATCGTCAACTGACGAGGGCGCTCTTTCAACAAAGCGTTTCGCAGCTTAACAGGTGGTTTTCCTTCTTCGCAAAGTTACACATTAATTCTCTAATGTTAAAGATTGCCATAAATCTTGCTGACGATGCTAAAACTGTTCTTCGTGCTTCAACAATTGCTCTAACATGAAACAAACCGCAGCCAGCACTGACGTTATCGCAAATAGCTTAACACATGTTTTATAAAGCACGTGACCTAACTCACTCGTAAGAGAGCGATTGCTCGTTTCTTGTATTAATACAGTAACACACATGACGAGTAAAACCTCTGAGACGGTGTGTTTACTTACGTAAACTTATGGGCAGGCATCTAATGATTGAATTGCCATGGTGATAATGTTTTGTCGTGTATGTGCCGGAGGAGTGCATACAAACATGAGAGTACATTTTACCCATAATGCCCTTACGATTCGTATCCTTAAAAACTATATGATTTTCAACACAGACTGTCTCCTTTTTTCTATTTTTTTAAGCAAATTGTTTTGTTCATTTTTTGTGTTGATGCTGCCCGTTTCTATTTCAATTTCACTGTCCGAATCGCATTTACATTTAACGAGTGTATCCTGGGCATGCATATTTGAGACTGTTTGGCACATGAGACAAGTAATTTTGGTAGCAAGCAAACACTTCGTGGATAATACATTGTCATGTGCAGAGAGCCAAATGTGATATTGACCTTTGATCCCATTCTTATTATTCGAACCTTTGCAAATTTTAATGAATAACGTCATGAGTACATATGTTTGAATAATCAATACATTATTTTGCTATATTTCCTCCCAACAGGAAGTGGTCGATGAAGCACAAGACCAGCGTTGCCATGGGTTTGCGCGCGTTTAATATTCAGTTCGGCAATACCATTGTGCGCCAAGGGGATCCTATTAGAGGGTTCTTTTTTGTCCTCCACGGCCAAGCTAAAATTTCGATGGAACCTGCGTTACATGTCACACAGTATCCTGATATGTGCCTAGAAAAAACAGACTCCGCTCTGAACGGGATTCTGGCAGAGCTGTTGTAAGTCGACATTTGGTAATTAAATATATTGCAAACGTAAAACGCAATCGTCGTACATTGTTACTCTGGCATTCATATCCGTTTTCATGCAATGTAATACTGTTTCGGTGTTTGACTAAATTTTATGTCTCACAATTTCCTGGACATACTGTTCTGTAATTCCCGTAATTTCAAATATGTGCGAGAATAGTGTCAATTGTACTGTAGTTGGCCGGCAATAAAAAAATGATGTTCTAAACTTTGACGTTTTGCATCACCAATCGAAATCTAAACTTATAATATTAAAAGAGTGTTTCTGTCTGTAACTTTTGTTGTGTCAAGCCTTTTCCTAGTTTGTTCCAGTGTAAATATGACCAAAACCTAGACTACATCCTGATTCTTGTTGGAGAAACTGGAATGGATCGTTGCCAAGAGACGCATTAGAAATATCCATCTTCGCTCCAGTACAATTTATACCACTATCAGAATATCGTATATATTGCGAATATTTCTTCTAATAATGATGCTATAGTTTTTATTTATTATGTTTTTAAGACCGGGCAGGAAAGTAAAGGACAAAAAAGATAAGTCTCACAATCTACGGCTCAGTGGTCCGAATCTATCCAGGCGTCGTGACGGTTACGCCGCTGCCGAACGTCAACGAAACGTGAGAACTATCGACGTCTGCCTGGTTGGTAGTAATGACATCATAGGTAAATTTCTTTCGCGGTCAAACAAGACCTCCCTGTCATGCTAGATCTCGCTTTCATGCTAGATCTAGCTGTCATGCTAAATCTTGCTGTCATGCGAGATCTCGCTGTCATGCTAAATCTCACTCTCATGCGAGATCTCGCTGTCATGCTAGATCTCGCTTTCATGCTAAATCTCGCTGTCATGCTAAAGTGACGAAAATTACCTAAATATATATATAAAAATATATAAAGTTCCTTGGTAAGTACAGACGTTTTTTGTATATTTTCACAAACACAATAGGTGACACTGAGATTGCGTTCAACATGGATACCTACATGCAGACAGTGACATGTATACAAAATGCACGTGTCTACGAACTCGATTTGAAAAACTTCGAGAGGCTGGTTGTGAAAAGGAACCCAGAAACGCTGAAAGTGATGAAGAGCATAGTTGAAGTGAAATTAACAAGTCGCCTTAATAGTGCCAAAAAAGCAAAGGTGTGTAATATTATTATTTTTTAATCGAATTTTTCAGTACGTTTATTTTTCTAATAAGCTTTGCTTTTTTAAAGCTCAACTAAAACAAACGCAATCACAACACAATAAATTCGACTATACCGAACCAGAAAGCACTAAATGAAGTTTTTACACGCAGAGGGCTTGACCTGTTCACAAATTTCTTAATTACTTTGCGTTGTCTTAAAGTGTCTAGCGGGTAGAACTCCTTTGAGTGAACGCGGCCAGTTAGTTAATTACTAGTAACATCGGACAACATGCCCCAGGGTAATGTGAGGGCGCTCGTCAATTGACATCACTGTATAGTCCTTCCTTTGGCTATATGACACCTTATTTTAATATTTGCGCCATTTACAGGTGCCACTGTTGAGTATTTTATTGGAGAAAATAATTGAGATGAACAAACCACCACCGGTGAAAGACAAACGACGCAGAAACGAAGACAACGAACTTGATCGGCGCTGCTCGAAAGATCCATTGCTTCCACCGAGAGGACCGATAATCGACCAGTTTGGTCCAGGCTCGTTGATGTATCGAAACAAAGTGAAGGAAAAACAACGGCGGCGCTTTCACGAGAGGAGGCTGAGAACAACGACAAGGAAAAAAGCTGATTTAATTGATCCGATAACCGGGAAGATGAATGTAAATCCGGCATTAGCCACTCAAATGAATACGACCAATAACCACACACAGACCGGAAAAGGTAAAACCCGTCCATATACTGCTCCAGGTGCGATTACTACGGAATCGACATTTAAAGGTTTGCATGCCGTCATAGAAGACGACGATGAAAAAGACTCCGTGTACGAGGCTACCGATACCGAGCTCTCGTTGTTGGAAGACCGTATCAGGAATTGGCACTCATATGAGGATGAGACAAAGCCACTGATAGTCCCCCGACCGCAGAAATTACACCGAGTAAAACTAAGTAAAGACAGCTGGGCAAGAAAGAGGATTTCTCCGCGGGTTAAGGGGTGCAAAAGCGCAAAGAGTGAAACAAATATAAACAATACCAAAATGTACATGCATGACAGAACCGTCGCGTTTCAAGAAAATAATAATCATGCCGGGGACGAGGAGTTCATGGAAAATAGCACATCGGGAAAACGAAGCGTAAGGTGAGTGACAAAAAAACAATACATGTATTATGAATAACTGAACGTATTCTATTTTGTGGGGCGGGTCATGGATATAGTTTAATTTTAATTTTTACATTTAAAACACATTTAGAAACATAAAATGGTGGCAGAGAACCATCCGAACAATCACAGCAACAGTGAAATGTACAACAATAGCACGGATGTATATCATTTCGCAATGATCTCAGCGCCAACCAATCGTAGTCAGAGGGCGATCCAAAAGAGCGTTTCAGTGGCGAGTTTGA